TATTAGTAAATGTCTTGATTTTGGAGCATAAAAGTTTTAAAAATTTGTATTTTAAAAAGATTAATGTCCGTTTGATAATACGAGCACACATGTAGTTTGATAATTTTAAATATTTTTTATTTTCCTTGTTTTGGCTGTTAGTAAAGGATTCGTATTTTGTACGACGGGAAAGAGGAGACACAAGTGAAGTCACAATATAAGATTTGCCAGACTCTAAAGAGATTGCAGGCGGCAATCCGTCTGCTTGGTAGGTTGAATATTTGGGATGTGAGCTGCTTTTAGGATCCAACTCATTATTCGATATATTAAGGTATGTTGGTGTCAGCCTTGATTATATAAACATTTAAGTTCAATCTCCCCTTAGAGGTGACCAAAGTGCTGCAATCAATACCATTATGTGGTTGAAAAATGTCATATCTTAGTAGTAAACAAATGGCCACTCTCAATTGTTCATCTGGTAAGAGATTACCAAGATTTTGACTGGGAAGGGCCTCCAATTCATGATCCTCTAGTCTGTCGTCAAATTAGAGGTGTTGTATCGAATCTAAAGAGGGATTTGATTATATGTCAGCATGAACGTTATCTATAAAGGGTTCGAATTTTTTATGACTAATTACTGATGAATACGGAGTATTTACTTTCTTGCTATGTATTAATTGCTTAATCTAATAAAAGATGAGTGGGTGATATGAAGCAGGATTTTATTGAATTACATCAATCTAGAGACGATAAAAGAAGATAATGATATGTGTGAAAAGATTTGGCTAACCAGATTTTGAAGTAGTATTTAACGGCTCGTTTTGAGCCGATTAACGACTCATATTGAGTCGTTTAAACAGAACACTATTTTATAAGCACTTGAGAAAGAGCCCAGTTAAATCCGTTAATTAATATTTAATATTTTTTCTAAAAAATTTAAAATTTAACTGCAATTTATCAGTAAAATAAAAATGTATTTTAGAAAAAGAGAATGCCTAAAAATATGTTATAATTTTGGTATGTATAGAGACATTTAAGAATTAAAAAAAAACTTTGATATGGGGGTAGGTGTTTAAACATTGTTGAAAAAGTTTTTACATATTTTATAAAAAGGTTCCTTTGACACTGAGGTATTAGTTAACAGAGAACCTTATATTATTTATTGTGTGGCATAATTTTGTAGCCAACTAAGCCAGCTACTGTTTAAGAAACAAATCTCAGTTTTGAAATTAATGAGGGAAAGCCCCAAGAGAGAGAGAGAGAGTTGTCCTCGAAGTATTTGAGGGCTTTAAGAATAAATGATGATGACCCACATAAAGTTCTAAGTTTAATTTAAATTTGTGCTTTTTGAGAAACTGGATTATGGATGCCTAGATAAAAAAAAGAGAACCTAAAGAGTCACCTTAATGGATATTCTCATTTAATGGGATTTGGACCGAAAGTAAGTGGAGTTATGAACTCGTAAGAAGATTCGATAAATTTAAAGTAATCAGAAAAAATAGTAAAAAATCATGTCAATTTAAATTATCAAAGGCGTTTTTAAAATCTATAGTTTGCAGACGATAGCTTGTGGTAAAGTGATATATCCTTAGGGTATATCAAGCTATCAAGCTATTTCATAGCCACCTTTGATACCAAATCCCAGTTGTATTGGTAAAGTTTAATAGGTTGATAGCCTCAGGGTTGATACTTATAAGTTAATCAATTGAGATTAATTGATAGTTTTTGCTATACCATTACACTATCAGTGTGGGTGGACACTTTTACATAAAAAAAACAATTAACTTTATTACAAAAAATATATTATATCTGTACTTTTTTATTTGTAAACAGATCAATTAAAATTTTGATTTTTTATAAATATGCTATTTACTGACATTCTATTTAGAAAACATATATTAATAACAATTAGGACACACTCACAAAAGGCAAAGATAATTTTTTTTAAACTCTGAAAAAAAGTTGACTATTCGATTGTTATGTCTTCTTTAAAAAAGACCAGCTAATACACACTTTTAAAACAGACCAAATCAAGTGCCCTAGTTCATATTCTAAATAAACTGGTTTAAACTGAAGTACGTTTTAAAAATATTATGAACTATAACCATTGGCGTACGCAGCAGGGGGGGGGGGGATTTCAAAAAATGTAGATGCCGGATATATTTTTCAAAAATATTATTGTTTATATTAATTTATATTTGTTAATATTTATTCGTATCTCATATTAAATATATATTATTACATTTGTTAATATTTATTCGTATCTCATATTAAATATATATTATTACATTTGTTATCACATTCATAAGTTATTTTATCAATTAATTTCGATTTCAAGTTTTCCGGCGTAATATTTATTTATTATTTTAAATTTTTAGTGGCGTAATATTTATCTACCATTTTCAAATTTCTAGTCAAATAATAATTATTTCTGAAACTTCTGGTCCAACAGGGAAAAAGAAATTGCAACCTAGTCCAACGAGATAGAGCCTCTTCCATCAAGCACTAACAGCTATTAAGGAGTTAGAAGAGCAAATTATTTACTATTACTGAAATATTACAATGGCCTGAAAGAAATATATCCTCAGAAGCAAGAAAATTATTGGATTCAATGCTTATTCCAAATTTTATTTCTCATTAGAATGTATTATTTAATTATACAACTATTTTAAGTATTACTTTTCAAAAACATGACATTGATTTGATTAAGAAGATGAGAATAGCGGAGAGCATTTTATCAGAACTCAAGGAAATTAGGGTTAATGTTGATGAAGAATTTCATATTTTATTGTTGAGTCAAAAGCAGAGCTATACGTGTTTAATATTTGTCTCCCTCGACTTGTAGCAAGGCAGGCTCATCGTTAAAACATTAATATAGGATCAGTAGAAGAGTATATCTTAGATGCAGATACATTTATAACCCAAATAAATGAATTTTTAATATATCATGCAGCACTTACATCTGCAAATATTACTTCCACAAAAGCCTTCCCAACCTTTTTCAGATGGTGATAGAAAAAAAAATATTTGTTAGATTTTTATTATGAAGATGTTAAAGTATCTTATGATGCCTTACTAGCTGAATAACTATGTTTATAAGATTAACTATAGTTGATATAGTCCCAAAAATGCTATGAATGCTCTGCATTATTTCAAACACATTTTAGATTAAATTCCCAATGTATTAAAAGGGTTTATAAACTCTTCCCATTAGTAAACCAATGAGAGAACACTCTCTTTTTTAAGAAGAATAACAGAGGCCTGCAGAAGTACCATTTGCAGGGCACGGCCCGGATTTTTTTTAAAGATTTTTTACGCTTTTTTTAAAAAAATTTTTTAGGCCGCTCGGCTTTTTTTTTTAATTTACACGCTCGGCCCGGCTTTTTTTAAAATAAAATTTTCAGGCCCGGCCGATTTTTAAAAATAAATTATATTTATTTTTGATTTTTATAGCTAATAATAACGATTTCAAATATAGGCTGTTTTAAAAATACAGCCCGGCTTAGGTGTTTTTTTACAAAAATTTCGGGCCCGGCCCGGGTATATTTAAAAAAATTAAAATACTGTCCGGCCCAGGGGCCGGGCCTGCAGGTCTCTGAAAAACATACCAAGAAGTACAACATGTGAAAGTAGATTGAAAGGTTTAGATTTTTTATTCATAGGCATTTGACGACAAGCAACGATAAGATAATTGAAAAATTAGCTCAATTCCAACGAAGATTGGATTTTACATTGTAAATATATAACATACAAAATACAATTATTCCTAAGACACTTTTTGTGTAAAGGCTCAAAAAATTCAAATTTCTATTTTGGGAATTCACATTAATTTAAAATTGTTTATTAGGAATAGTTATTAGTCCTAATAAATTTATGCTTGATATTTTTAAAAAACAATAATATTTCTCAAAAAAATTTATTATCCCCCCCCAGACCAAATTCCTGCGTACGCGCCTGACTATAACACAGCCTAATAGTTTTTATCCAATCTCAATAATACCTTTAAAATAATGGCTAAAGAATAGCATATGGGTATATACCTCCTGAATTGTTTTCTCGCTTCAATCCTATAGAAGCTTGTTGATTATATTTACAGTTTGGTTAACGATCAAATTTTATCAAACCCTTTTTTTAAACATGGTACATTAACTTACCCCTGATCCGTGTTGGCAAACTACCATTCTCTACCCTTAAAGATTCAGAAAAAGGTGATCCGAAGGGAAGAGAACAGTCAATCGACCCTTCACTCTCAACGCATAAGTTATTGTTTTATTAAAAAACGATAATTTTGTTTTTATATTTATAATTCACCAAATTACGAATAATTTTTAAACGAGTTTTTCTTTTGTCGTCTAAAATTACAAATAACATTCATCCCCAAAAAAATGCATTTTGGCAAAATTTATGATTATTGAGTTCTCAATTTTTCGAAAAAAAGATTGTTTTTTTTAAACATCTAACACTAACACATACTCTAAAATATACAAACAAATATATGTATCATAAAAATTAACTCTATTCCCATTAATTATATTAATCTTACAATCATACTCATAATATAAACATATATTACGTATAAACTCTTGAACAAAAGACCATCTGATCTTAACAACAACCCAACTCCCTCAAAAGATCACTTTTGATTGACATTTCATATATATCATTATATATAAATATAAAACAAAACTACAACAGTTTTCATTATTTTTCTGCGAATAAAAATTTTGATATGATTGAGAAGATGTAGCCTTAATAAAATTATAACACATTTTAAAAATTTGTAATAAATTTGAAAGGGTAGTAGAACATATAGATGAATTGAATTGTATCAACGAATTATTGCAATTTTTATTTACCAAGTTTTGGAATATATATTAGTTTTTCTTTTTTAATCGCGATTCTTTTATTTTGTTTTTGAGCAATTTTATGCCAAACGATGCATAATATATAAAAAATGATAAATACTCATAAAAACCTATTAATGATCAGAACCTGTGAGCGAGAAAGGGAGATAGAGGATATTATTTGTTAGGTTTTGGATATTTGCAGAAGCAATAAGGTTGAATATCATAATTTTTTATGCACCAAGATTGAGTACCATACACGTTAATTCGAGTCACGTCATCAATTAATTTTATAACTCCATCATCGATAGAGAGAGTACCTTCAAACAAGGCCCCGTTAGGGTTTAATATCACTGAGAGTATATAAGTACCGGAGTTCGAACCTTCCGTCGATGATAACTCATCTATATCTAAAGCTTCCACCTCCACGGGATACATCCGCTGCGTTATGTTTCCTTCATTTCCCATAAGGTTTTCTTCTATGGTAATGTCTAGATCGGAACTAGATTTCAGCGACATTTTAGCCGCTTGCACTTTTTTAAAGGTCCATTTAATGCACAAATCACTGTAGCCAACTAACTTTTTATTCACATAATGGGCAATAGCCCTTCCAAGTTTTTTGATCCTAGGATTCTTAGGAGATAAGATCTTGTTAATGTTACAAGCACAATGATGGATAGATATACCAGCATCTTGACAGCGTCTTCCTACACTCAAAGGAATGAATAAGCTTTGTCCTATAAATTCTTCTTTTTTTCCTCCTCCACCTTCTGTTATTTGATTCTTTTGGTCATACAAACTTGGATTTGATAAATGTATCAGTGTTCTATAGAGATCAAAATGGGATGTCAAAATTTGAGCGTTTGTTTTCAGGATATCCCATAGGTGAGAGTATTTTAGTGGGAACCATCGTGGCATCAAAATTTTGAGGATTGGTAGCCTTTCCTCAAAAGAGCCATGAAAAGTCTTCCTGAAGGGATCGAATCTGCTCCCATGGTCTGAGAACAAGAAAACAGCTGTATTATTTAATACCTGGCCATTGGACAAGTTAGTTAATAAGTCCAAATAAGGCCTATCCAAGAAACCTAGATTGGGAGTCTCCATGTGAGTGATCTTATTAGTAAACGTGAATGCAAAGTAAGGTTTTCCCCACTGGTACATTTTGTTGCAGAACTCTTTAACCCATAAAATCAAGTTGACAGGTTCCATATCTCCATAAGCACAGAAACTATCGTCATTAATTAATTGCCATCTTCTTATATGCAAAGACATAGGCCTGTAATAGTAATCAACGGGTACACTTGTAAAACCCATCCTGTTGAACCTCCTGAAAAGGGCTTGTTGGGCTGTGTCCTCTCCAAAAAGGGTATAATAACCCTTCTGTTGGAAATATTTCCACACAAGCTCTCGTCTCTCATCAAATGTTATATTAATTTCTGAAGGTATGCATTCATTAGCTTGATTAATCCCACAGGCTATTTTTTCGAAATACTGACCCATCAATAGGACTATCAAATTGGGTAAAGTGTTCTCTCCAACTTTGTGGTGGACTTCAAATTCTACAGAGGCAAAATTTTTCCCGATGAATTCTTCTGTCATTATCATTTGCCGATGATAATTTATCCGGGAAACAGAATCTATTCCTAACATCAATACGTTCATCTCGGGCAAAAGCAAAGTTGGAGTTGGCTCTTTCGTTTCAAGTTTAATTGGTTCATCCATTAATTTCATACTTACATTCTTAGCACCATGCAAATTTTTCCTAAAAGAAATTTTTGGAAAATATTGAGTATTCTTGGACAATATATTTCCTATGGGCATAGGTTTGTAAACTATTTGGGATAATATATCTTCGTGCAACATTTCTCCGTTAAGATCATTACAATAGACATACAGAAATTCTTCTTCCTCCCCTATCATGACCTTGTTGCCTATTAAAACAGGTCTACCTAGATATACATGATTATCAGGGTCTTTATTATGTTCATCTCGTAAAATGGGCCTGTAAAAGCATCGAATGAAATCTTCGGAAGATAATGAGTTGCTGATTATGGCTTGGTAATCTACCTATTTTATGAATGATAATAAATATTAGATCACCTGATAAATATATACATAATGTTCCAGTCAAATGTGATTATTTTAAGCAGAAAAAAATAGGAGGAAAATTTGGTAATCATAAAAAATTAGTGCGTTAACGTAGAGGAATAGGAATGCTATTTGTTACTTATTTAAAAAGGTAATCACGCGTTTCTTTTTTAAGTTTAACGCAAAGCGGCACTCATTATTCTAAATTTTTTTCTTAAAAAATATTTTATTTTATATTTTTTATAAATAATTTAAGCTCAGTTTTTTATTCAGATAAAACGCCAAAGTTCTTTAATTTATTTTCATTATTCTATATTTGTTATTGAATTGGTTAAGAATGTCAATCTAACATATTGAACAAACGGTATCTTGAATTATATTCTCTAAATAATTTATTTTATAAAAAATATAATAATACTCATTAGTTTTTTAAATTGAATATGATTTAACTCTGCACTGGCCCCAGTATGAATTATTTTTACTCCATTAAAAAAAGTTAAGGGCACTAGGTTTGCACCATAGGCTATCTAAGATTTTCCTATGGGGGAAGGGGGTAAACAATCATAGGCAGGGTTTTCCTCCTATAAATTTTATTGGAGGTCTTTAGGATCCACTAATTGTAGACCTTTGGCAATATTATATTTTAATAAAACTTTGGGTTATCACTTATATTTTCTAAAAATTTTGAATTATAATCGTTATTTTAAAAAGTTATTAACTTTTACTAATTTTTCCTTCGAATTCTTCACTATAGTGATATATTGCATTTTTGGAAGAGAGGGTTTGGGGAATGTGCAGGAGAAATTTTATTAGCTTAAAATGCACAAGAACAGGCAAATTTGCACCCCCACCCCTGATATACGTCTGATCTACACTTTGTAAGTGTAGATTGTGTTCTGATTCAAATATTTCAACACATACCATATTAAATTTTGATAAAGATTTTAAAAAATTAATTAGGATCGGATTGAAGATATTTGTGATGATGATCTAATAAGTTTTTTTGAAAATAAAGATCATTATGCAAATATTTTAAATACCTCAATAATTTTTATTTATTAAATATAATACAACCCCCATCCTCTGGGCCAGTTGAGCGTGTGTTGAGCACTAAGCGCTCTTGTTTAACTCATAAAAATTTTGAAAACCAGTATAAGTAAATAAAAAATTATTACAATCATCTTATCTTATATGAAATCATTTTTGTATAATTTTACAATTATTATCCATGGGGAAAACAATTAATAAAAAAGGAAATTTTTATATAATATTTAGTATTTTTGAGTATCAAGTAACGCGTCAATTCTTTGAATAACGAGAAACGCGTTTCTTTTTTTCACAAGGTAATAAGTAACGCGTTCCTTTAAAGCCACATACAGCACTATAAAAATTAAGGTGGATAAAGAAATTTTAAAAATTAGAATGAGTTTTAAAATATATAACATGAGATAGAATTAGATTTATAACCATTTAGAAAAAATCTAAAAAAAAGCAAATTAACACTATACAATTTATGGAACATTTAAAAGAAATTCGCATAATATTAAACTTTCTTTACCCTTAATATTCCATCATCCAACCGAACTAATTGAGTTTTGATCGTTTTACATGGGTATTGGAAATTTCCCCGGTATTTCCTTATTTTGGAGTTTATACTAGGATGGAACGGTTCCAGAATGGGTAGTATACAATGCCCCCATTTCTTGAATTTCATAGATGAATGGAACTCGTCTTCGCTAATACTTTTAACGTATTTTTTGAAAAGATCTAAATCCTTTTCTCGGCTTTCGAATTCGTCAAATGATATGAATTCTTTCTCAACGTCTTTCTCTGTTGATCCATTCCTTGAAATTCTGTCGTAAAGGTATTTATTAAAAATATCTTTTACCTTGTCATCGGATTTGTTTTTTTCAAGAGCATTTGACCAATTTAGAGTTTGCAAATTTTCGCCATTTTTTCTCAATCTTGATTTGGTGGTCACCGAAAGTCTATAGTCACTCTGAATGTCCATCATAAAATAGAGCCAAATTTCTTTCGATATTACGCTGATCACTGTGCATACCACTATAAGAGGAATGATTTGCTTATTGTATTGGTAATGTTTTCCCGGTTTCATTTCCAATTTCAATATTCAAGATTTTTGAGAAAGTTTTATAAATTTTTTTTACCGTTTATAATTGTATTTTTTTACTGTTTTTATATTTAATAATTTTACTTTATTGAGACATTCGAAATGTTTCCTCCAACATTTGATTATATAATTTATTTAATTTACCTGAAAAACTAAGTAAATTAATTTCTTTTTCTGATAAAATCTCAGAAAGTATCTATTTTTAAATGAATATAAATACAATATAATAATAAAATTTATTTTCTAGATCAACTAATATTGATTTACAAAATTTATGTTAAAATTTTTCTCATCTTCTTATATAAAATAATAAACTCTATAAGAATAACGAAGCGAAAGTATCATAATAATTATTGTTTCTTATTTTTTAAAATAAAACTATTTTTATAATAAAATAAACGGTAACTCCTCTTTTTAAAACCCCCATTAATAATAATGATTAATTCTTGGAACCAAAAAAAAAAGTTAAACAAATTTCACCTTTCAACCTATATTTATATTTTATAGGTATGTACTATATTATACTACTGATATACTGCACTGCGATTGCTATATATAATAAAATAATGTAGAAAAGTGAACGCCATTAGTAACCGTTTTATTATTTTTTTTGTGACAAATAAATTGGTATACGTTACTTTATAAGTTGAAATGTTTTCACATCGAACTCTCTTCGACAAAATTTATATCTTCTTTTCCTTATTTTTTTTACCTTTTTATAACCTCTTTTTTCAATTTTTTATCAGTCAAGTATTAAATTAATAATTAGGAATGTAAATCCAATCCATAAAATTATCGATTGCTAATTAGTAACTATATTTAAATTTATATCATTATATTAATACATATTATACACTTTTGTAAACTTTTAAAAAAGTAACTCTAAATTTTTCTTAGTTCTTTACAAAACAATTAATGCTTTTACAGTCCGCTCATTGTTTTTCACATAAAAAAAGAATACCAAATTATATAAAATGAAAGGTTCAACCTTTCTGCTATCTATTAACAAAACCTCCAGGCTTGCATAATATTATTTTGGCTAAAATCTTAATAGGGTCGTTTTTAAAAATCGACCCGAATTGTGCTTTTTAAAACAATTCTATATTGGGCATATTAAAAAACGAAAACAAATCAAAAGTGAATTTACAATTTGAATTCAATTCGAGTAATTTGTACTTTAAAAAAACATTATAACATAAATCGTACGAAAATATATTGATTTAAAAAAAATTTTTTTATTGCATATCTAATTTTAAACAGTATATATTATCAAAATATGATGACAATAAATGAACGAACATGTGATCAAATTAATAAAGAAATGAAAAAGCATATTAACCTAATTAATGCCAATCCACTTAAAGGAAAGAGCTTTTCTTATAGTTTCTAGGACATGCGATTATTTAAGAGCAAATTAGAATTCTGAAAATAGGGTTTTCGCACCCAAATAGCCAGCGAAGCCCTCCCCCCGAAATTTCCCCCCAAATATTAGGAATAGATATTATATAAAATAATAAAAATGAAATAAATAATTTTATTAACCATAATTTTATTAAAATATACATATCACCCATTTCTAATTAACTGAGTTAAAACATAGATATAAATAATTAAATCTCAATTTATGATTACATATAACCTATAATAAATCCATGTAATTGTAGTCATAGATCTTATATTATAGCCTATTATCTATACCGTTGTATTTAGTATAACAATCATTGTATATATATATATATATATATATATATATTATAAATATTTTTAAAAAGATGCTATTTTTAATTTACTATTCAAGAAGGACCAACGTATCGACCCTTAAATAATATAGGACCATCTGCGTGAATAATAAAATATAGGAAAGGCCTGTTTACAACAATTTCATTCTTGTTAGGTGCCATCCTAATTCCTAATTCAGATCCAGTTACGGCAGCTCCCTCTATTCCTTTAGCCGCGATCTCTAACTTAACTTTATGTCTTATTTTAGCAACGGGAAGATGTACACCCTGAACTATATTGTCGATCCCTTTACTAATTAATCATATATATATATATAAGTAAATATATTTAATGGTTATCGATCCTTCTTAATAGGTTGGTTATGTGTTTATCTTAGAGACAATATGGAGAAGGGGGGGGGGGGGGGGGGGGGGGGTGTTCTAGCCTTTTTTTATAAAGGGAGGGCTAAACCTTTAAAATTTAAAAAATATTTTTTATGATTAAAAATAGAAAATAATTTAATGTTAATTGTTAAACAAAACCTAAATAAATATTGCATTTGCATAATATAAAAATTATATAAGATTGATTAAAGAAAGAATTATATTAGTTTTTTCTAACTAGTGGCTTCTAATGCCCATGACTAATACGTGCCCCGCCAAAACCTCCACAGGTCTTCACAATTAATTAAAATTTAATTTCAAGATATTACCAAAAATATTGTCAATATGTTTTTACATAAGAAAAATTGAGTTTACTTTATCATATAGAATTGATATTTAGTCTGAGTAGCATTAATAAAAATATTTATATAAAAATGTGAAAAATGAAAAAGTTACTTTTGAAGTGTTAAAATTCAAATTTGCATTTAAAACTTTTTATGAGGATATTTCCGCGAAATTTTTTTAGAACCTTGAAGTATCTTATTAAAATACATTCGTGGTTTAAATTTCAAATATCAAAATTTATTATGTTTAAAATTATTTGAGAAGAAATTACCTGCCCCTGGATAACACCATCCCCTGTCTCCCTACATGTATTAAAAGAACCACGGCTAGTTTATTTTTCAAAATGGGTGGTGATTTAAATAAAATATATGGTTCTATGGCATTGCGAAATTCTGGCTGACTTTAAAAAAAAAAATTAGAGCTCTTTACGCATAGCTAAAGATACCCACCCTTATAGTATACATATAACTTAATTTTTTAGGTTTACGTGAGTATTAATTTTACAAAAATATGTTATAAATATATAAGTGTTACTCTATCCAACAACTAAGTTTGTCTTCTAAAATATCCAACAGATCGACAGCAAACTCTTCACTGACATATGGCATGTAAAATGTTGAGGAAACTTTATATCCATTATCCAATTGACCGAGAAAATTATATTGTTTAGATCTAATAGTCTCTTCTACTTTAGATAATGGAGTTTTAGCATCTCTGGTTGTCACTATGACTAGCTTGAAATTAGTATCTAATAAAATTTTGACAAAAATTTTAAGGTTTAGACTAGGAACGTCTTTTACAAAGACACTCCTATCTGCGCTTTTTAGCATATCGACTTCTACGGGGCCAGACACGGCATAAAATGTTTTCTTTTCCGTTTCTCTAAATGTTTAACATATTATTTCGAATTTATAAGAAATTAAATCATAATTGCCATTTTATTTCGAATATTGCAATAAGTTATGAACATCATTAATAAATGTCAACCGATCTAAACCTTTTTCGAATTCAAAAATAATATCAAATAAAAAGTAACCGCTGCATTTAGATTGAGCTTAGAACAAGATGGAATTTAGTTATTTTATTTGTCAAATCGGTTCAGACGATCTCACTTTTTTGAATTTTTTTTCAGATTGTAAGGTGGTCTAAACGCGTCTTGGTCGACATCTTCATTAAATATCAAGAATATCATCTCTCAATTGTAGAACTTATAAGATTTAATAATTGAACAATTGTTCAATATAGTATCCCTTATAAAAAAATTTTAAGTTTAAAATATTTTCAGGTTTTATGAACCATAATTAAATAAGATGAGAATAAAATAAGTTATCGAATCAGGTAGAAATCTCATTTCATCTTCTATTTTACTCCCTAGTGATGCTAAAAAAAAATTTTATCCAATTAAAAATGCTAAAATTATACTCTTCAAAAGGTTCCTTCCAAGCTCCTTTGTAATAAAAAGAATTCACTGACATGAGATCTGTGTTAAGATCTACTGCTGAAGCCTTGATAAAATTCTTTATAAGTCCATTCGTGTTCCTAGATATTTTATCATTTATCATACGCACTACTTCTTCCATCTTATTTCTAAAATCTACTGATTCCAGAGTAGCCCCGAAAATATTTTCCACAACTCTCGCATAGATATCATTTATTGGTGTTCCGTCTTTGATATACAAATCATTATCCATTTTTAGGGTCGAATTCGCAGCCTTCATTCTTTTAAATTCTGGACCACTGTCCTGAGAGGTAAGTAATTTGTTTTACTTGTTAAACCCGGTATCAGCATGCTGCAACTATTAGTTGCAATGTTTATTATACCCAAAGCCATTTCTATATTGAACGGCGAAAAAAATGTAGTTCGATGTCTGATTTATGCCATCTAAGCTAGATAAATAGCTAGCAAATTCCATCTATTGCGAAATCATATTGCAATCAATGATGGAAAACATGCTCAACAAGCCCATTAAAGCCAAAAGTGTAACCATGAAGCTAATTTGCGAACCCATATCTGTAGGTATATATTATATTTTTAATTTCCTAAGAAAATCGTATAAATGAAAAATATTTATATTACTATATGAAATTTATCCAATTACCTTTTTAAAAATATTTTTCGTCTAAAAGATAAAATAATTAAAATGATAAAAACTGAATTATGATAAATTTAGTGAATATTCCAGGTGCATCCTATCATTATGAACCTTAAATTGAATTATTTCATTAATTATTTTCTTTAGATGTATAATGTTTATGTACACATGTGTTGTATTTCTTACTTCGAAAAATTACCTGATTCAATATCTCACTTCAGGTTTGAAAGTTTTTTAAAAAAAAATAATTAAGTTTTATTGGTAAAAAAAAATTAGAGGTTGAATGGGAAATGATAATTGATCAGGGTTACCGAATTTGTAATTTAGAGGAACACCCTAAGAAAAATATGATTAAATTAAAGCTGATTTTATATTTGCACTTCATTATTCAAAATAATATATAATTTGCAGGGTGTTTGAACTGAACCCAAATTAGGGGCTTTTAAAACATTTTTTGTTTCGAACATATACCGAAGACAGAACAAAGAAAGAACCCGAATTCGAGCCTGTTTTTATCCGTCCAAACGTTAAGGTATTAATTTCATAAATGATGTTATAAGATATTCAAATTAGTGATCGGCATCGGGCTTAATTTTTAAAGCCTGATCCGATTTTTTTTTATTTGCATGAAAAGGACAACCCAAAATAAAAAAAATTTTTTGTCTCGACCCGACTGGAATTTAACTAAATATAGACAAATAAAAAATATGGGTGCCTTATTTCTTGCAAAAGTTGAAATATATCAATTTATACCACTAAATTGACTGATATCATTATTTAAAAATCCAGCCCGATCCAGCCATGCCCGATTTTTTTTTGAATATTATGCCTAATCCAGCCCGAATCCTATTATTTTTCCAGACTCAGGCTGGGTATGGGTCCGACCGGGATTTGCAAATCTCTAATTCTAATTACCAGTATACCCATATCAAATTTGAATGTTATAAAAGTTTAAAATCTGATAACTTAGCCACAAAATTTAGATCCACTAGATGATAAAAACATCCTTGGATGATGATATCTCTACCTAAAAGTTGAAAAAATATAGATTAATTATATAGGTTTTATTTAATATTTACGTCTTTATTAATTTTCATTAATTACTACTCATAAAAAACCGTTTAAAATATTCCTAAAAACAACAGAAAAAGGAAAATAGAATTTAAAAAAATTTCAAGGTCCACGGTCCAAAATACATTTTAAAATCAAGGTCCTAACATATCTCGATAGTATATAGATGTAATTAAATCGTAAAAAGAAACCTAGAGTATTTTCGACGGCATTGATTGCGGCCTTTTCAAAATCCATATAAATTGTTATCGGATCTACGACTAAATTCCGTTCTTGGGTTTTTTCGAGTAAAATTTTAAAAATTTCTTCATACGTTGTATTCGTTTTTCTTTGTAACAAAAAATATGCCGCTGTAATAAACAGTGTTTTAAAGGGTATACTAATTACGTATAGCTGCAAAAATAATTGAGGAGCCAATTTAAAATTCCCGTCTATATACCAAGTTTTCGTTTCGGCTAACATTTTAAGCATATAATCGGTGGCAAATATAATTATTCGTTCATTAGAATCTCCGCCATTATCATGCAAAAGAAATCTCTCATTCGTGGGAGATCCGGTTGTAGCCCAATCCTCTAATATTGAAAGATATTTTCAATTAAAAAGTTATTTATAGACATAAATATGATTTAACCTGAAATGCTTAATTCTTCCAATGTGACCGGAATAGGAGGAAACCTTTTTATTTTGTAATTTCTAAGTGTCCTCTTGATACTATCTTCATTCGGAAGTTTTTTTCTGGATTCTAGAGACAATTTAGACATTTCTTCTGCGTATATTTGGCAAGTATTTTGATTTGTTTCAGAGGCTTTTCTTTTCATCGTGCTTATAGCATTTTCAATTTGATATTCATGTGGGTTTATAGGATGAATATGAGACGTATTATCCAATGTATAGTCATTTTCATTGTAATATTTCAAAATGACTGGGCATTTTTCAGCATTAAATAATGTACATTTGTATCTTTTAAAATTTTTCGTAGTTTTATGATAATTGTAGGAATAGCCCTCATGAAAAATTTTAGCATGCTTATTTAACGGAAGAATAAACATAAAAAATTTATATTTTATAAAAAGTAATAAAAAAACTAAATGAAAATCGTTTGTTTCAAAATTACATAGAATATACCACCCAAATGTATAAATTTATTTATTCTTGAGCATAACTTTCCTTTCAACGTTATAACTAGGCCTACAAAAAACGTATTCGATTCGAAAATTCGAATCGAATAATTGCGCTATTCGTATTCGTACGAATAATAAAATCATTATTCCTTTCGATTCGTCGAATATTCGATTCGATTCGAAAATTTTTCTAAAGCTTATAAAATATTTTGCAAAAAAAATTTTACAGATGTTTAAAGATGACACTTTTAAGGATTCTCTAAACTAATTGTCATTACAATATAAAAATTTATAGAAAATAAACGAAATAAAACCCAATGATTTCATATAACGTTAACCAAACAAATTGACCAAAATATCCGATTTTTAGAATTAGAATTGCTTATAAAAAAATATTTAGTGAAGGTGATTATGACAAAATAAAATTTTTTAAATTATAATCTATTTAAAATATCTATATTTTAAATATTTGCATATAAAATATAACAAAATTTTAGAAAGTATTTCATTATAGATTTTATTTATTAAAAATACTTTAGTAGCATAAATTTCCTTTATTTAATCATGTATTTATTTTTATTATTAATATCATTTTATTAGTTAAAGGTGAAGGTGATTATGACAAAATAAAATTTTTTAAATTATAATCTATTTAAAATATCTACATTTTAAATATTTGCATATAAAATATAACAAAATTTTAGAAAGTATTTCATTATAGATTTTATTTAATATATAAAAATACTATAGTAGCATAAATTTCCTTTATTTAATTATTAATATAATTTTTAGAGGTGATTATGACAATGTAATAGAGGATGAAGATATTATAATGCACTATCTGAATTAGATTGTCTTTAAAATTTGCCAAAAATAAGGTTACTAAATGGGAAAAGGATTTTCCTAATCAAATAATAATAACTAGTCAAAAAATTTTGGTTATTTATCTGTCAGGAGCTCGAGAATATGGGAAAGAGGCATACTCTATAAAAATGTTTTGACTTGTTCAATAACATCAAAAATGATTAAAGAGAAACAATCAAAATAAAATAATTATATTTTACTTTGAAGCTTTCCCAACTTTTTCAGCAAATATAACTTGTTATGATTTGATATTTGATAGTAGGAAATAAAATAAAACGAAATGATATCCACTAGGAAAATTTAATTACTTCTTTTTATTTTACTTGCAATAAAATATTTGCGAATAATTACGAATATTTATATATAAATAATTTCGAATAATTTCGAATAATACGAATAATTTTCCTCATTATTCATATTCGATTCGAAATTTCGAATCGAATAATTGTGTTATTCGTATTCGTAAAATACGAATCGAATCGAATCGAATATCAAATAACAAATAATTCGTTTTAGGCCTAGTTATAACTAATAATAATATCAGGGAACTAACTGGGATTATGTAATAACATTTCCGGAGTTGGAAACTTTCAAATAAAAAAAGTTTCTATTTTAAGATTATAGTCCCTCCTGTGTTTTCTTTGATGAATTAAATATATTAAAAATTATAATATTTATATTTATATTTATAAAAATAAACAAATATTATTTAGAATAAATAGTATATTTTTTGGTAGCGTTCAATTACTTGAGATAGTCTTTGAATTAAATAAGCTTTTGTAATCAGTGATTAGGATCAATACTTTTTTTGAAAATTTATAATCAGATACAATTTTTAAAATCAATAGTATTAAACATAAAAAATTTCTATTATGTTATTTTTGTCCGGGATTCAAACTGATATAAACGAACGGAACAGAATAGTGTCATAATATTTATTTTAATGTTATATATATTTTAACCTTATTGGCGTGTTAGAAATAACCCCCCCCCCTCTTTATGGTAAATATAATGTGGTTTAATTACCTGTTTTCATAATATCTATTCAAGTCTAGATGAAATGTGGATTATGGAAATAACCTTTCTCTTTCTAGGGAAAAATCTGCTTTCACATTTTTCTTTTCAATTTTAAATTGTAAAACCTCTTTCATAATTTTCATATATTTCTATAAAAATCTATCATCACAAATCTATAATTTTTATGCTATCTACTAAATTATAAAATATAAAAGCTACCAACCGATTTATCAATTCTCATTTAAAGATTGCCCTTTTGGAATTAAAATAGAAATACTCTCAACGTTCAGAAAATACTAATATAATTTTTTAGAAATATTTTCGTTATTTTAGCGGCGGGATTATTTTTTGATAATTTTAAAAAAATTATTCGGGGAATTTTTTCCGGTTTTTTTTCCGGGTACTAATTTTCCCCTATATTTAATTTAAAATCTAAAAAAAGAGGAATTTATTTCCGGGGAATTATTTTCTATGGGAATTTTTTTCCGGGGAATTTTTTCCAGGGGAATATTTTTCCGGGTAATTATTTTCCAAGGATTTGTTTTCCGGGGA